TCACACTTGGGGTCTAGCAGGAATGATTACAGAGATATAGGGTGATCAAAATCGACATTCTTCAATTTTAAGATTTTTTTGTGTCGAAACTATTCATTATCGATCAAAACGGCTTACATGTCCCAATCTTAACTCTTGATTCACTATCTACTGGAATTTAATTGGAAAAAAAGGGGTTTTTCAAGATTCAGAATTCTGATCACACTGTATCTGTTCCAATTAAATGTCAGTAGATAGTGAATCGAAAGTTAAGATAGGGACATGTGAGCCGTTTTGATCAAAAATGAATAGATTCGACGCAAAAAAATTCGAAAATTGAGAAATCTCGATTTTGAACACGAAAAAAACAAGGGTATGATAATATCGCAAAATATAAGTGGTTGGTGATGGAATATCAAAGTTTAGGTTTGTTTGTTGCAGCTTTAAGTATGTATGTTCAAAATCACCCATTATTTATTTATTGTGAGAATTATATGAAATATCGAAAAATAAAAAATGTTTATTACAAAAATCCCTCTATATATGATCTGATGGGAAACGATTATTGTTGTCATGCCAATCAAACCTCGAATAAGTTTGTAATTGTCGAAGTGACAGACACAGCGTTACTGTCAATTTCGATTCAGTGGAATTGCCACAATGTGATCAAAAACTTCCACAGCTATATACCGGGTGACACAGGTTATCGGGCCACCCCTGTAACTTCTGCATTCGTCAACGGATTTTTCTGAAATTCTGTACAGTTATATAAGCAACTATTTCGGATTTGATCACATTACAATCCAATATGGCGGACTTCCGGTTTTTCTGGAAATGCCAGCAATTTTGTTTTTTCAAATGGAACACCCTGTATATTTTTACATATTCAAGTTCAACAGGTCAAAACAAGTGCAATCTTGATGTCAAATGTCTTTTATTCCACAGCCTACCTAGTTGAAAAATTATTCTAACTGCAAGGAAATTCATAAACTAGTTGTTGATTTTTGAATGAATACAATTTGTTACTGCACCGAAGAAACAAAAATAATATGTCCTTTTGTTACTTAATGTATGGTCTAGAGAGACGGGTAAGTGGCCCATAGGGGTTCCATTTGAAAAAAAATAATTTTTGATCAAAAAGTGATGTGGCTGAATTGATTCCTGGATAAGTGACACAAAAAATAATTGTTCAGAAAAAATTATGTTCTTCTGTTATGTGTGAGTCATTGTGAATAGTCTTGACCACATCTCATTTATCCACGAGGTAAAATGAAAAAACAATTTTAATTTAAATTTTTTCGAGAAAATGACATTTGAAATGAGGATTGCACTTGTTTCGACCTGTTGAACTCGAATATGTAAAAATATTCAGGGTGTTTCATTTGAAAAAACAAAGTTGCTGGCATTTCCAGAAATACCGGAAGTCCGCCATATTGGATTGTAATGTGATCAAATCCGAAATGATTGCTTATATAACTGTACCAAATTTCAGAAAAATCCGTTGACGAATGCAGAAGTTACAGGGGTGGCCCGATACCCTGTGTCACCCGTATAGGGATGCGATTCAGATGCGTTATTGCCAACGAAGTCTTAAGAAAGGTATGAGAAGCTATACACGCGATTTACTGAATGGTGCAACAATAAAGAAATGAAAATACCGAATAAAGAAGAAGTATTTTTGGCTCATTTCCTAGAAGTGTATGAAACCTAGAGACCAAGCACCTTATGGGCCTGCCGACTTCTGCAAGGAACCTATACATAATGCGTCAAACTGTAAGTTCACAATAGCTATTACTAATAATCAGTAGATAGAGAATATATTTCTCTTGTTAGTTGTTCCTATATGAATGAATAATTAATTGAACAAATCAATCAATTTCTTACGCTTGTAGAAAAAATATTGTTCCTAACTCATGCGGAAAGTTTCTTTCCCGCACTCGACTGCTTGCCAGAACTCCGCTTCGCGTCGTTCGTGTCAACGGCAGTCATAGCCCAGTCACCTTAGGAAAAATAGCGGGAATCGGAGCCAAAGTTTTGAAAATTGGTGTACGTGTTCCTTTAAGCATTACATCTTACCAAAAAAAAGTCACCACCCGTACCTGTAGAGCTTTCGCCGCCATCTTGGAAAATAGGTGCAATATTTCAGTTTTTCACGTATATCTCGGTAACTGTCAACTTTATCGCGATAAAGGTGGTAAGGTAAAAGGAAGCTAACAAAATTTCTCGTAAAAAAGTATTTAGCAATTATTTCCGAAATATCCACAAATCACTTTCCGCACTTGTTAGGAAAATTACTATTTTATTCCGGGAACCAAATAACACTTAGAGACCAGGTAGAGTAAAAATGTCGGAAACCAAATTACACATGAAAATTAGGTTAACCTAAAATATTATCGGGAACCCTATTGCACATTTTCATGACCCTTCTTGATCTGGGAAACAAACTACTTGTCCCTTCTGGGATACCTCTGATGAAAGGTATTATTCAATAGGTAGATAATATTCGCTTTTACAAGAATTTCTAGATGGACAAAATTCGTCGTGTGTTAACTAAAATATGAGAATGTTATTTCGAAACAAAGACAATACACTTTGTATGCAGGAAACAATGGGAAGGAAACTATTGTTTACTTTATTTTGGAAGTTGTTGGGTATGATTTCATGTGAACTGTTGCTGTTACTCTTGTCACTGTAGAAAACAATTATCCAAAGGAAATAGCACAAATTGGTACACGGTACACTTCTATTAGGAAATTCATGAAAATTATAAGAAATATGAGGAAATTGAAGGAAGAAATGTATTCATGGGATGTGAGAAGAGATCAATGAGAAATTGAGAAAATGGGAGGAATGGTCAGGAAATAGATATGGAAAATGAGGGAAATGATTAGAAAAATAAATTTTAGGGAAGGATAACGGGCGTAATGCTTTATATCAATGAATATTTTCGGATAGGAGTTGAGTTGAAGAACAGTTTAGAACGTTTTTGATGTAGATTTTGTCATTTGAAAATTTGTTGGTCGATTGATATGGATTCGACCCCATCGTGAAGTAATTGGATTGTTCCTTTTCTGATAGTCTTGATGATTTGATCAAAATATTATTCAACCCATTAAATGGCGTGGAGATGACTAAGAAATTCACTCTTCAATTCACCAGTCTACCACTCCACTTTGAGCAGTATGGACTTTTTACTCGTTTATAAATATTATCTATAGTTCCATGAGGCCACCGGGTCAAATTATGAAAATATCATCTACGTATCTCCACCATGTATATGGTTGTTTATCGTATTTCTTGACAATGTTTTATTTTAAATTCTCCATGAATATGATATTCTCAGAGCAGCTCAGAGTGAGAGATCATGGTGAACCAATGACCATCATGCCATTGATGAAACTCAACATTCAATTAAAAATAGGTACCTATGATGTTTTTAGACATAATTCAAGACCGAGTTCCAGAAAGTATTTGATACCTATCAGTTTTTGAAATCTCGACTTCATTGTAGGTACTTCTTTTCGATTATCTGCGAGATTACCTGTATTAATCACAAGTAGCGGTGGAGCTGCTTTAAATAATAGTATAAGCTGTGGAATCAATGGTTCTAGTAAAGCAGAACAACGACCTTGGAAGAAAGGTTCCCAGTGCTATTCATAAATGAAGAATTAATTATTATTGTGGTAGCCGAGTAAAAACCGTTAATAGTAATCTCGATAGTAATGCTTATAGTTTCTCGGCTACCTCAAAATAAACTGTTGAACTCGATGTTGAGCGATTACAGTAAATACAAATAAAATTGATGGAGAGAAACAGGTAGATACCTGCAGTCACACTGACACAGGTATAAAATTGGTCTCGACAGAGGTGTTTCTTGGAATTCTTAATCTTCTCCATAATGAGATTTTCACTATTGAATTTGGATCCAAGAAATATGAATCATGATGGTGTGAATTGGTAGAAATGCTCGTATAAATGTTAGTCTTCATCAACGATTACTGAAAGTTTATCTTCTGTAGTCTATGTCTTCATATTGTAAAATATCATAGACTACAGAAGAAAAATAGGTGGAAGTGCTACCTATATAAGCCGAGAGGTCTCATGATTCTCGCGTATATAAACACAAAAACTTCGAAAAAAAAAATAGATATTGTCTCTCATTTACTTCCGTTGGATTTCCTCGGAATTTACCTGGAAGTCCCAATATTTCCAATTGGAATTCAAGGGAATTCTGGAAGAACTTGAATTACCTACCTAATCTGTCGTAAACTTTAGAAAATAAAAATGTAAAAGGTCGGTAGGTGCCCAATTGCACACCGAACAGCCTGATTAGGTATAATAGTAAAATGTACCTATAAACCCTGTGAACTTTCAGCCACCCAACTCACCCCAGGTGAATATACATCCTCGGAAGGGGTAATACACCCAACTAAAACATGCAAGAACTAGGTAGGGCTGAGTATAAAAATTTGTTTGTTTTCTATGCACCTTTGAAATGATTTTCATCGATTTTCTCAAATAAGAACGGGTTTCCAAAAGTAATTACCTAGGTATAAACCGAGGGATAGGTAAACCTTTGTTTTTATTGTATACAAACAATAATAGGTAATATTATGGTTGTTAGAATATGTCTACTGCCTACCGATGTTATAATAATAGATAAGAAAGACTAATTTTTTTTAGGTCTACTCTACTTGATGATCGTAAATGATATCTACCTATTAACGGTTTTTGAAATTTGAATTCATTTGTTCTGTCAAACGAAAAAGTTGAAGTTCATGTTCTACTGAATTTCAAACAATACCTAATTGATTGATTGTCCAATTGCATACTAAATAATATTCCACAGTATATTATGTCTTCATTAATAGCTTTGTATTGAAGTCTGTTCCACTAATAATTATTTATTAATTATAATAATTGATTTTCAACCATTTCACGAACTAAAATCATAATGATAACTTGGTCGCTTTTTCGAATAAAGATGTTATTTAAAATATCTATCTCATATTGTAGCTTACCATAAAGACAACAATTTTCACACTTTTCACTAATAAAAACAAAAATTCACTTTGACACGACCACTTAACGCTTATGACAACACAGATAACGCCATATTGAATATTTGATTATTTTCTGTCGTATCTTCTACTTCATTCGAAATTACCTGTTTATGAGCTGCGCACTGCGCTGCGCATACCACTCTAATAAAAGGATCGAAACATACACTGCTGAACAAATTTAACTGACAAACCGCAACCAAGTTAAAATCTGTGAGAACGAATAATAAATCAATTCCACGTACGAAGAGTCTCGTTTCGAATTGTCTCGTTTCGAATTTTCATCTGTGATTAAACCCACTTCACTTTGATAACACAGGAAATTAATCATTCCAGAATTACGTCATTTGACAGGTTGCTGAGGGGCAAACATTGTATTTTGTCAAGATTTGTCATATGAAACCAGAATTAGTGGGATCGTTTTCCTTGGAATCCAAGTTGGAACCAGAAAGAATTTCATAGTTTTGTTTGGTGAAACTGTTATTATATTGTGGATATGGCAGAGATGGCCAGGGCTATGTTCATCAAAGGTAACCTATATAACAGATAGTTTGTGTGCCCCTCAAGAAACCATGTCAAAATCACGTGTTCTGGAATGGTCAATTCATGAGTACCCTACACAAGTATACTGATTTAAATACGAAGGAGCCGGAGTCACAATTTTTAGATAACACGCGCTTTCTTGCAAAATTATGGGTAATTTTTATGCACTTGTGCAATTATAACCAAAAATATGCATGTCTGTATTATTTTGAAAAATTGATGGATGAATCGTAAGGTCATTTTGTAGAAAGAAAAGTGGAAAAGAAATGCTTCCAGTTTTGTTGTAATTGAATACATCGTTTTTTTTAACATGCAAATATTTCAAAAACAAAAATAGTTATCGTGGATATTCTCTGACTTTGATGATGAATATTAAAGCCCTTGCCCCTACTTCGACTCAATCCACTTTGTTTATTTTTCTGTATAGATTTCACATCACTGTCATGTTACTTCAACTAATTTTCTTTGATGAAATCATTTTCAAACATTTGAATAGAATTGGAACACTGAAAGACGTCAGAAAACGCAGAATACTTATGAGGCCACCTGTCTAGTTTATTAATCTTGGGTTCATACTTTTTGTGCGAGCAGTTGTGCGAGTCCTGAGAAAGATAATCAAGTTGGTTGGAATGAAGTTTGGACTGCTTTGTCTATCAAATCGACAGTATGAACATAGGCAACCATTCTTTCGTGAGATTGGACAGGCCCGGACCAAGGTCCAGACCAACGGATAGTGACGCATAAAAAATAATAAAGATTAGTTTTCAATCATATTTTTCTATGCTTTTCGGCAATGTGGCAAAAATTGCAGGGGCGTAACAAGGGTTTCAAATACTGAAAAGAAGTGAAGACAATTACTTATCTACTTAGTTAGAACCAGCGTTGCCAGATAATAGGCCAGATGAAAATTGTGGAAAAGCGAGAACATTTTTGTCAAATCAGTAAAACTCCTACTGAGTAACATTAAGATAAATCTACCTAAAATAAGTGGGCATTTTATATTGTTGATGAATGGAGAGGGTGAGTCAGTTTTTTGTAGCAGGACTTTAACAGCTTAAAGGATCGAGACATTTTTACAAAATGAAAATCTTCTACAGGGTGTCCCATTATAGAAACGACGAGAAAAATCCCAAATAGGTAATGAAGTTAAATGAATGTACTACCTCCACGATTAACCCACAGACAGTATTTGACTGAAGGTGTGTTAGAAAAACTCTGTTGCCATGATATTGTTTTTAAGAAATTGTTTTGCCATGGTAACGTGTTTAATTTTTTGAATAAATCACAGATCATCAATCCGTGATTAATCGATCATTTAGAGTGGTATACATATCCGTACGCTAAATGCCATTCTAATTTTGTGAGTTGAAAAATGTTATTCTCATTAGAGAAGGATTCGAAAAGTATTCATTTATTTGTTATTTCTTGTCAAAAAAATGTTTGTGGACGAAGTATCTGTTCGATTTACCTAAGTTTATAGTAAATATTCAACAATCGATTTGACACGGTGAAACGTTGTTGAATATTCACGATGAACTGAGGTAAATCGAACAGATAGTACGTCCACAATTTCTTTGGTGACAAAAAATAACAAATTGATGAATAATTTTCAAATCCCACTCCAGTAATAATAATATTTTCATTTGTAATAATCGGTAAGAAAATTTCACACCAGATTGTGTTTGGAAATTAAATAATTTTAGAATTAATTTGTTCATTTGATTTGCATACAGGTTCATGAATAAATTCAGTTTGGGTCGCAATTTCGGCACCAATAATAGATTCCTGATTGCTACCTATTATATTTGCATGAAAACACTGAATTGTTTTTTGTTCTAAAATTGTTCTATCCGTCATTCGGTTGCCCCCTTACGAGCAACCCTCAGAAGTCTTCGAAAGTCTTGGGCGAGCAAGGAATGACGGGGGCCTTACCTTTTAACGTGTTATCCCAAACACTTTCTTCAGCCATCAGAAAAAGTCTGCGTTCGTGGGACTCGAATCCACGATCGATACCTCGACGTGAATCGATATTGAAGCATCGAAGCACTGAGGTTCGTCGGCCGGCAGTTTGAAATGTAACATATTATATTCTTCCATTTTATATTAACTTCGGGATACTACAAGTGATAAGGAATTATAATGTCGTCAAATACTTTCTCATAGGAATAGGTACATACTATAGTAGTAGTAGAGAAAGGGGAGGCGGTCGACTAGCAAGTAGGCCCGGCCCCAGTTTGCTTTTTTTGCCTACCCCTGCTGTACACGTCATGTGCACAATGCACATAATATCTACTATATTCTTTCTCCTAATTCTCCTTTTCGAACCTCCGTGGATTTCTGATGAAAGTCAGTATGTCCGTCCACCTTAGTAATTTGATCTTCCTGTTGAAGCGTGTTTATGGAAAGTCAGTTGAGCAGATCATCAAACGAATGTCGGGCCGCACTCTTTGAACGTTCAAAGGGACCGACGGTTTGCGGTAATGTGTTCTTCCATGTAAGAGATTTCGAATTTTAGCCTTCCATAACGCCTTACTCTGGCCTAGGTAGTGGCATGACATTCTATATAATAGATGCAGCTAGGGCATCAATGGATTCTTAACTTATTAATTGTTGATTTCTACCCAATTGAAGTGCCACAAAATCACTAATATTATTCTGTCATTGAAACGTCATAAAAAAAGTTCCTATTTCATACGCTGGTGGGTACCCACGAGAAAAAAATGTGCACTTAAATACATATGTTGCTATGGTAATGTGTCATGAAAACCTAATTTAACTGTTTAAAAATCACTGGTGTGGAATTTTTGAGGTGAATTAGACATTGCCTCTTCCACTATTTCATCTCTCATTTCGTTATCGTTGAAATTAGAGGGTTGGATAGTAAATGTGTGTGTAAATGAGGTAACCAACACCTTTCATCCTTATTCGAAATCCGGGGGGTTGTGATTTCCCCTGAAAGGGGGATGAAGGTACGGAGATGAAGAAATCAGACAAGTCGTTCCCCCTCGTGGCAGAAATCGATTTTCCGGATTTTCATTTCAAAGCCCTAAAATCGTGGTGTAAAGTTCACGTTAGATCACCCTACTACTTCACCCTACTTCAAGATATGATGGACTTCTATCATTATCAGTATTATTAACCATTTATTCAACAATTTTGTGTATAAAATATTATTAGTCTAGGTCTACGTCATCCAAGGCACCCTCATCATTCTTCTTGACCTTGCTTTCCTCCACTTTGATATCGTACCCGGTCTCCTTGTTTTGTTCTTCGGGATCTTCTGGTATCACAGATTTCGCGTCGATTTCGCCGATGCCTAAGCCAGGTTTCGCGTTCGGTGGTATGATGGGTTTAGGTCTGGAAAATGTTGCGGCCGCTTGTTCTTCATTTCCCCTCGCTGATTCGCTCCATGACTTGAGCCATTCAGCTCCGGTATTCGTGCTGGGCTTCTGAAAACATTCATACCTAATACAGGGTATGTCACGATGAGCTTACACTAACTTTATATCGAGAATCAGTTGGGAGGAATACATAAAAATGTGCATGCTATGAAAGTAGTTTCCAGATTCTCCCTGAAGATCTGATTTTATCGATGTATCACACTTGGGGTCGATCAAAAAAGATTACAGATATACAGGGTGATTCAGGTTTTGAGGCACAAACTGTAATGGGAAATAGATTTCATCATTTCAATAGGATAAACTCCGATCTCGTCCAGAAGCGGAGCTACAGGGGGTCAAAGTTCAATAATTTTGTTCTATTAATTAAAATATCTAGCTTACTTCTTGAGATTTCATTTTGAAATTTGGTGTGGTCAATACTTCCTAGAAGATCATCAATTCAAGCTATTTAAAGATTTTTAAAATCTACAGGGTGATAGGTTTTTGTGGGTAGAGGCTTCTTTATCCCCCCCAAACTTTTTTGTCGTACGCCTCTGGCATCTTTCACTGATCAAATTGTTTGGATCGTTCAATTCAGAGGCTTATTTGCTTCCTGATTCTTTTCGAGAAAACGAACCGTTTTTGAGATAAATGAGCATATATTATACGTTCTAAGACATGTTAATTTTGCCTATGTTTCGCTTAAATTTAATTCTTTGACAAAATTCGTAGAGAATACAATGAAATGTACTCACTAAAATTGCAATCACTAGTCCAATCTGGATCAAGGTAAAAAGTCGAGGTTTTTTTTCATTTAAATGAAATTTAAGCGAAACATAGGCAAAATTAACATGTTTCAGAACGTATATGCTCAATTATCTCAAAAACAGTTCTTTTCTCGAAAAAAATTGAAGGACAAAAAATCCTCTAAATTGAACGATCCACACAAGTTGATCACAAGAAGATGCCAGAGGCACACTACGAAAAAGTTTGGGGGGGGGGAAAAAGCCTCTACCCCCAAAACCGTATTCTGAATAGTATCAACCACACCAAATTTTAAAATGATATCTTGAAAAGTAAGCGAGATATTTCAATTAATAGATAAAAATAATTAAACTTTGACCCCCTGCAGCTCCGCTACTGA